CGCAACTAGCCCCGGGCCGCCCGAGAGGTCCGCCATATTTGCATTCGGTGTATATTGTTCTTCTTTCTCCTCTTTCATGTCTCCTTTTTTTCTTTTCTGGTTTTGTGGGTATAGTAAGAAGAAATTGTTGTTGTTGAGTTGTTTATAGGGCTTTGCTATTGATCATCTTTAAGAGAGTGGAATTTCCTATTTTTAAGTGCTTTGAGCAAATTAGAAAACTGGAGTAATGCACCTAGTAGCCATTGTAAAGTTGTTTGGATTTAGAACAAGAAGGCAGAAACAGTTTATGACCGTGTTGTTTATTCAATGCACACACACAAGTCGAAAAGCCCGAAAACCGAAAGCGTAGTGTCCCGGTTATCATGGCATTAGTGATGTAACATAGACCAGAAATTAATTAACGATTACATTCATATCGTTACATCTCCCCTTCTTACGAAAAAAAAAAAAAAAAAAAATATTATCTCTATGTCACAGTCCTATGCAAAATAAAGATAAAATAAATAAAATAAAATAGAGAAGTGACTAGTCCTGTTCGTTAACTCTTGACTGTACACAGTTTATGGCTAGTTCTGTCCATTGACTTTCGACCGTACACTGTTATTGACTAGCAGTCCACAAAACATACCAGGGGTTTGATTACCTGACCACTCTGTGTAGTCACTACCCTTGGGGATAGTGAAGCTGGTTCTTGATGTTTCACTGGAGCTTTGGGGTGTACTTCTTGACTCTCGCCTGCACTGGGAGTGGCACTTTTCCATAGTACTACGCTTTGTGAGGGATTTGGGCAGCTAGGCTCGGCTCGTAAGGGTGGCCACATCTCCAACTTGCTGTCACACATGGCTTCATGTGTGTGCCTAAGATGTCTCCTGTTTCTTTTGTACATTCATCCATCCTCTGTTCGGACCTGGTACGATTGGATGTCAACTTTTCTTTCAACTTTTGTAGGAGTCCATTCCTTCTTCTTTCCTAGCTGAGAGTGTTGCAGCTGGATTCGGAATCTGTCTCCTGAGTGTAATTCATCCAGTTCCTTAGCACCTCTGTTGTAATACATAGACTGCTTGGACTTCGTTAGTCTTAACTTCTCCTCAACATTTTTCCCATTTGACTGGGCATATGAAGGGGAGCTTGTCACAAGTTCAAAGCTGTAAGTGCTAGCAAACTCAAGGAACTTGTCTGACGCAAATGGCTGTCTGTTGTCAGATTCAAGTTTTTTTATATTTTATTTTTTTAATTTTTTCTTTATTAAAGCATTTCTTAGGTTTACATACAAAATAGAGATTAAAAAAGGGAAAAAGACACACACACACTTATATAGTACAAATAGAAGAATACCAAACTAAACACACACATAAAACTCTTACAGCAATACAGTTACCTAGTATGTAAGTTACAATGATATCACTTTAAAGCTAATGATAGAAATTAATCATGACATCACTTATTCATAAAAACGCTTATTAACTTAAGGTGGGAAAAGTTAAGCGTCAGTATGATACCTTCAGACTGTAAAGAACATATCCTCATTAAGTCGCCTGAATAGCTTTAAAAAACATAGTAAACACAAAGGAGAACATCTAAAAAAGTAAAAACGAGAAATTACATTTCAACAAAATACTGAAAAACACAGAACGTAAAAGAGCAGCAAGATAAATATCCTTAGCGCTGCCCTTGAGGATGGAACCAATTTAATAATTCGACATCTCTCCCAGAGAGCTTTTGGTGCTTGGTTATAATGTACAATAACCAATTGATAACACCTTACAGCCTTGCTATAACGAAGAAAGGTCACAGTTAATATAACCCCTATTTAGAAACGAACTTGCCATCAATAAAGAGTTTATCAGGTTCTGGTCTACTAAAGGATATTTTTTGGTCCCTTTTTTTTTGGCTTCCTTTAATTTGGGCATTTGTTTGCGCCTTCTCTCTATGGTTTCCTGGAGGGAGTCTTGCAAAATCGTATACTCAGTGTCTTTCAATTCAAACCCAGCACAAAGCACTGTCTCGTGATCTTGATAGCGTAAAAAACGGGCTAATATCGGCCTGGGGTTTCCACGTATGGACTTACTGTCGGATACAAGTTGGTCTGGTATGCCATGTCTGGCTAGAAGAGCTTTGAGCTTCCCGATGACTTCATCAACTGTCTTGGTAGTTAGACTATCGATTTCAAAGGAGCTAGAGAAGTAATCAACAGTGATCATGTAGTCTCTACCATTCAGCTCAAACAGGTCTACTGCAATCTCCTCCCACAGACTGGTTGGTATCTCATGACAGATCATTGGTTCTTTGGTTTGTTCCATTGGCTGGTTGTTACAGATAACACATTTGGCGATGCAGTTCTTGATGTCTTTGTTCATTCTTGGCCAGTAAATTACTTCCCTTGCTCTGCTCAGGCAGCCCTGAATACCTATATGGCTAGCATGAATCTTAGCCTTCACCTCTTCTCTGGCGCTTTCATGTACAACTAACCATTCACCTTTAAAAACCAGTCCATTCTGGAGTGTCATGCCTTCTCAAAATGGGAAGTAATCCCTGACTTTTACGGGAAGGCAGTCTTTATCTCCTGGCCAACCCTCTCTTATGGTGGTCTTCAGTTCTTTCATGACTGGGTCTGCTTCTGTAGCTGTGCGAATAATATTCTGTGTCGTCTCAGACACTGGAAGTTGGCACACCTGGACCATGTTGATACTCTTTGTATCCTTCTCTACATCTCCTCTAGAATCTTCTCAACTGATTGATTGGAAAAATGCTCTGCTTAGCGTATCTGCAAGATACATCTCAGGCGTCGTCCACACGTATCCGGAAATTCGCGAAAACGGAATTTTTTTTTTTACGAATATGGCTTGCGTCCACACGTATCCAGCGTATTTTCCAGCCGTATCCGGAAATTTTTGAAAACACTCTCCAGAGTGGAAATTTTTTTATCCAATATGAATACGTATACGTGTGGACGGTCGTATCCGGAAATTTTCGAATACGCTTTCGTCATTCTCTTGGATCCAGTCTTCACGGCGAGCATTATAAACAAACATGGCGTACAGCAAGGTTGTAGCTTCTTTACTGGTTGCTCTGATTTCTAGTTTGATATCATGCATTCAGATAAATGCAGCTGTGATGAATTTACACAACCAATACATTAGAGATCGACAGGATGTTTTGAGATTGTTATCAATGAACAGTGGGCATCATAAAGTCAAAAAAGAGCAAACCATCACCGAAGGCGATTCTGG